GAACATATTTTGCAGCATTCAGGCCCATAACTCCTGAGTGACAGTTTTGGTTAATTTGCAAGTTTTCAGATCAAACTTTGCCCCTGGCTCCATGCTGAGGGTAAAGTAAAATGTCAATTTCTTTCCTCAGTGATCTCAAGCATCTTATTTAGGCAGGTGTGCTGAATTCTCTTATTCTGTAGACGTTAGCTGAACAAAACTACTCATTAAAATATATGCTTAGGAAAAAAAATTAGCAGCATAAATAAAATCAGTAGTAATAAAGAGAATCAATCAGTAAGAAAAATGTACAGCAATATACAACATAAAATTTTAAAGAAGAATCAGGGTAATATTGTATATAAAAGGTGATTAAATGTTAGCATATGATTACGCTGTCATTGCATATTATTATCAAAGAATGTTTAATTTATACCCTGCTTAAAATTAGAGGTAGCTATGCAAAAGGATATTTTTCTGCTCCAGACCATATTTTTTTTTCCTGCTGAATCCACACATATACTGTAGATTTGTGATTCAGATTTGTGGTTCTGAATTAATTACGTTAGATGTCTGAAGTACATTAGTTCTTTGGCAGTCTACAAGGCAGTAATAACAGGGAATGATGTTGTCAGTCATTTTAAAGTCATCATTCGGCTTCTGCCATCTCCATCCTACCACTTCGAGGGATTTAGGAGAAAACAGCCTGCTGAAAGACTGTTTTAACAAGCACCTTCTTGGGGAAGACTATAAAATAGGAGCTGAAATAGTAAAAAAAAAAAAAAAAGGCACAACAAACCAAATAGAATAAATAGCTTGATATTTCTTGAGTATTTAGTTGTTGGTCATGTCAGCATGGTGTGTTGTATTTCTCTTTTTTTTTTAAATAGGCGTGAAATCCATTTTTAATTTTTGAACAGGAATTTTTTTGCAGTTTTTAAAAAATATGTGTGTATTTTGATTTTTGTTAAAAGTGAGAAACAGCTTCTTTAACAGTATTTTCAAGGAAATCTTGATGCCAAACTAACATAGCAGTTCAAATTGACTATTTAAGCTTAAATGAAGATTAGCAAGTAGACACTTGATAAGACTGGAGCATTTGAGCTTGAGCTAGAAAAATTAATTTAAGAGTAGACTTTTAACTTTCTAATGTCTTTAAAAGGCATCTGTGCCTAAAGTCAGAATTACCCTGAAAAGAGGGCAGGAATGGTTTTTGGAAGTGGGATGCAGCAAACAGCTCATGCATGCCCAATATGTACCCATGTGTCGTATACCCACACACCTGCTGACACACGGAGAAAATAGGAGTAATTGTTGTCATTGCTGTAAAATCAGTGTTGGACAGAATAATTCTGGCTTCTCGTCCAGTTCTGCTCTGTCAGGAGAGCTCTGCAGCACAACAGTACCACTCTGCAAGCTCCTTCACAACAGGCTTTTTTTCCTAGTCCTAAACATTCCTCAGGGTGCAGCAAGTTCAACACCCTTTACAACTTTTCTCTGGGGACAAGTAATACAAAGGGGTTGTCTTTTCTAAGGCATGTCAAGGCCTGAAAACCCACTAAGTGGTAAGTATACAGCTCTGACCTGACTGAAGCAGCAGTGGCCTGCAGCCTGCAGAGAGCTCTCAGCTCTGTATCTATCTAAGCCATTCACAAGTTAATGCATCATGAAGGCAAATGCTTCCCATGGAATTAATTTAGTTGCTGTTTAAACAGTAAATAATCCAAAGATGAGAAGGTTTACTTTCACTGAAACATTTTATTTTGTGCATTTGAAATTGTAAATTGTCAGATTGGGAGTGTTGAATGCAGAAAACAAAAGTAGGATTTTCTTTTAAAGTTGAGGAAGGTTAAAAATAGAAAAAGGATTTAGGATGTAGCAGGAAAAACCTGTAGAACATAACTGAACTGAGATGAATCAAACACACCATGATATACATCACTGCTGAATGATCGGTATCTTCTATACATCCTACATATATTTTAAGTGCTTAGGTTCACACAGCATACTGCAGGGATATGGTATTTATTATATAAGTATAAATAAATATACATATATAGTATATACATGTACATATACACACATATACATGCATACACATGTACATATATATATATATAAAACTAGAATATGGAAGATATGTATTGCTGGCTATAATTAATTTCTAACAATATGCCTGATTCTGAAAATGTGTGTTTTTCTATACATAGTATGTTTTATAGAAAGAGACCTGTGTCACTGTCAGGGGCAGAGCAGAAATGTGGATTGAATGGTGAAATGATATAACCACTCATATGTCATCTTTCTAGGAATAATCTCTCAGCATGACAGTCCTATGCATTCAGAAGTATTCTGGAAGTTGCCATTGTATAGGAAATTAAAGATTACTTTGATGCTGCATTTCAAATGGACAAATAAGGGAACGCCTGATTTGGGTCAGATAACTTGCTTGCAGTCTGACACATGTTCAAACTCTAATCCTACAAAGCTGGGCTGAAAATTCTCCAGGAACAAACTTTCCCATTGTTTCCATGCTCCAACTTCCAGTGCCAAATACAACCTGCAATGTTAAAGGTGTGTGAAAACAAGAAATAAGCTGAAAAAAAAATTTACTACATCCTTCAACTGTCCAAGGAGAACCCTTCTGGGGTTTGGTTCACTTTCAAGTTTGCACAGGTTTTATCCCAAATAGCTCACCGACTGCTTCTGAAGGCTTTCAGAATAAAAAAGTAAGTCCAGAAAAACAGAAGCAGTGTTCCTAACTACTGTATGTACCTTTTTAGGACAGGACCAAATTTTTTATCAGGAGTAGGTGTAAAATAGGTCACTGTGATGACCCTTTGAAATGAAGTGAGATTTTGTACAGTACATGTAAGTGTTTTATTAGGCGAAACTCCTTAAGCTGAGTTTTCTGAAGTAAATTTCCAGTCTGTTTTTTCAGCTGGATAATGTATTACATTTAGCTTTCCCCACTCTATCCACTGCTTTTTAAAACTTCTCTCTTTGTGTCCATGTGTTAAGATGGACAGTATTTGCTGATTCCAGCTTATCTAGGCTTTTAACAGGAAAATCCTGGATCAGTGCAACCTGTTTGAGCAAAAAGTATTGTAAATGCCTGAGTCTGGGGAGTGGTTTCACAGTAATAAACAAACACAAGTAGTTTATGGAACTCTGATAAAAAAAAGGGAAAAGTCTTCTATATTAACACATTCATATCCACAGCATAAAATGCTTTTTAAAAAAATAGTCTTAACCCGTCGTTTTATGTACCACTGCTCTGAAAGTCAGTTGGAAAGAATGGCAGATGCCAAAAGTATTAGTTCCCTGCTCACTGATGGAACAGAGATGTTTTTGTAGCTCAGGTTATGTTTTCTGTTCCTGGTAGCTCTGAAAAATTCACATATGGCCCTTATATTTTCACTTACCATGGATTTGCCTCTGATTTTTACTTCAACATCCTTGACATGCTGATCTCAGCAGTATATCGGTGAATGATGCAGGGATATCACCATTTCTCTTTTTTTTTCATTTTCTGCTACTGTTTATTTGTTTGTTTATTTAACAGAAAAATAAAAGAGGACAAAGTCTGACCGAGGAAAATCAATCTACATGAATAATGAAGAGTGTATATAGGACAGAAAACAGCCCTTTTTATGAAAGTCAGTTCCTTCGACATCTTCCACTGTCCATAGATAATATGCTCTTTAATATGTTGGTCCTTTAGTAATTGCATCCATTGGGAAAGGGGAAAAAAATAAATAGAGAAAAAAAGAGGGGACAGGCTGTGAATTTGACAGAAGAATAAAGAGACCAATGAGTTTTGCCAGTATTGAAAGAAAACAGAATGAATTAGAACTTCTCTTAGTGTATATCAAATATCTTTGAAGTTTTGTAAAGTCATTGTGAATAGTAAGAAAGACCATTTTCACCATGGATGTTGGCTGAGTGCCCAAGAAGCAGAATGGGTGGTAAGAGAAGATGCATCAAAAAACTCATCCTGAAAAAAAATTAAACATTCCCTGTGTGACTTCTCAGCTTCAGAAGGTTCCACAATATTTCATGCTTTATCTCTTAAACAGGCATGTATACAGAACACAGCAAATACAACTGCAGTGTTTTTATTTCCCTGGGAATGTGTTTTGGGTGCATCTTCACATTCTATCAAGTGACAGCACACAGTTTGCACTTGTCCTTGCAAGACAACAGAGATGAAAATAACAGCCAGCTTTATCTATGTTATCAGAACTCAGTGAGTAATTTGCAATTAATAATTTAGTCTTTAAATGTCACTTTTAAGTGTTCCCAAACTGTTTGTGAAACTGTACATTTTAAAAATAGGTAAGAATTATTAGAATCAATAAACATATTGCTGGTACATTCTATACCAAAATTATGAATAATTAAGTCAGATATCTTCTTCACCGACTTCAGTTGTTTTTTCCAGATATCAATCTGGACATTTTGATCTGCTCATCACCCCTAAATGGTAGTAGTGATTGGTGGTGATTTTCACAATTGATAGAAGTTAGAACACCCCAGAGGCTGCACTTAATCACACCAGGACACAAGCAGAATTGAAAAAATTGGACAACATTTAGGTATAAAGATTGTTGAAAAGACCTTATCACTTTCCTCCCCAGGTGAAATAGCAGACATACATGAGCTGGCTGCAACTCACTTCATTAATCAAATCAATGTGAATTTCGAATTTCAAATATAATATCTGAATATACAATTTTAAATTTGTGCTGGTGTAGTTTCCAGCATTTGAATTACAAATTTGCTTTTTGCTAATCCATTCCCTAACAGAGATCAAACACTTGAAAATTCATGAAAAGCAAACATGAAAGGGTCACAAACATGGTCAAATGTTACCTGGCTGTTTAATTCAAATGGATACTCAAAGAAAATGTTTCCTATATTTGTTCAGCTCCTTCTTTCTAGTTAGCTTAAAAAATTAAAGTTAAATGGCAGACTAATACTATGTGCAAATCAAAAAGAAAAAAAAAAAGAATTAAGGA